CTTCCAGGTCACTTTTCTTCAGAGTTTAGCTCCAACTCTAATTAAACACACCTGAACCAGCTAATCATTGTCTTCAAGACTACTATAAAGCTACAGGCAGGTGAGTTTTATCAGGGTTGGATCAAATCTCTGCAGGAAAGTGGCCTGGAAGGGCCAAGTTTGCCCATCACTGATTTAGATCATTGTGAAGACAGGAACTTTTCAATACAAACTGGGACAGTACCTTGTCAAAAAGTACTTATGTGTACCATTTAGACACTAATTTGTACCCATTACAAATGGTACTTTTTTCCCCCTGTACTGATATGTACAGGGCCGGATTAATATAAGGCCCATGGAAGAAGGGGGCCCTTGATTGGCTGAAGGAAATGGGAACTGTCCTTACGTCACTGATCGACAGTTCATATAGGTGGCTGTTTTGTGTCTAATTATAAAATAACAAGAAATTATTGGAAATGTTCCCGACTAATATAATTTGTGCCATCCGCCATGATGTCAGGAAACGGCTCTTTGCGTTACGCTTTCGCACGTCGAGAATGTGAAGTAGCCTATTCCGCTTGGCTCGTTCACTGCTGCTGGTGTTCAAAATGTTTTTAAAAAATTATAGTGGTCCGCAAAAAAGGAGAAATAAAATTGAAAGGGAAAAATATGAGGCTAATCTTACAGCTAAAATTCCAAAACTAACTAATTACTTCGGTTCACTTTCGGACAAAACATCCGTGCCCAAGGAAAATCCTGAGTGCAGCGGCAATACACATTTAGCATCACCCACCGTCGCAGATCCATGTGCTTTACACATTGAAGATGAGTTAGCAGCAGCAGTTAGTCATTGTTCTTATAACCAGTTAATCCAGAAAGCAAAGATTTTTTATGAAGGTTTACTCTGCCCCCTTAGATAAAAAATGACAGTAATATCCCGGGTGACAGTGAAATATTGGCGCCGGCGCTGCCTCCGTCTCTTACATCAGATAACATATCTGGTCAGACTGCAGGGAAAAATGACATCTAAAGTACTGACCCAGGATGCTGGCCTGCTGTAATTGACTCACAAGGCCAAAATTATTGGATCGGAAATGGACCAGTGCCAAGTTGTGATTTTTCTGCTTCTGAAAAACAATATAAACATCAAAAGCGGGCATTTTCAAAGAGCTTTTTCAGTAGAAAACTAGCGAATGGTGAGTCTGTTCCACGTGACTGACTTCTGTACTCTCCAACCAAAGGATCTGTATTTTGTACAACTTTTTAAAGGCATTTCACCATTTTCTGGACCGTCTGGATACAGTGACTTGAAACACGCATACAGTCACATTCCTGATCATGAGAACTCCGAACAACACAGAGAGTGCATGGTAACTTGGGTGTCAAGGACATCTGAGAAGAGGCAGATGGATGAGGGCCTAAGGGACCAGTTCAAAATGGAGTGTCAGTACTGGGAGGATGTGCTGAAAAGGGTTGTAGCTACAATAACATTTTTGGCTGAGCGTGGTCTGTTGTTCAGGGGTGATACTGAGACATTCAATTCCCCCAATAACGGTAATTACACTGAACAAAATTATAAACGCAACACTTTTGTTTTTGCCCCTATTTTTCATGAGCTGAACTCAAAGATCTAAGACTTTTTCTATGTACACAAAAGGCCTATTTCTCTCAAATATTGTTCACAGATCTGTCTAAATCTGTGTTAGTGAGCACTTCTCCTTTGCCGAGATAATCCATCCACCTCACAGGTGTGGCATATCAAGATGCTGATTAGACAGCATGATTATTGCACAGGTGTGCCTTAGGCTGGCCACAATAAAAGGCCACTCTAAAATGTGCAGTTTTACTGTATTTTTGAGTTCAGCTCATGAAAAATGGGGGCAAAAACAAAAGTGTTGCGTTTATAATTTTGTTCAGTGTATGTTGCTCTGTTCTGAATACCTGAAAATGTAAAGGATTTGCTGCAACGCAATGTTGATTGATATGTGAATTATTTATTAGCCTATTTTTTTTTTACCCATGCAGCAAATGCTTTAAAAACTGCTTTAAAATTACTTTATTGCATTCCAGACGCTTTTATAGTACTTTTCATTATAAATTTTACAGGTAGCTTGAATGTAAACATTGTCACAAATTCGTTGTATTCCCATTTGTAAAATAGCCAACAAATTAATTGTTGTAGGCTAACCCGATCTCATGAAAGTGCGTAGTATAGCACGATTTTCTGCTTCTATTTGGCGTAATATTTCTATGCAGAAATTGACTTTGTCATGCAAAAGACTGATAAATTCATAATTAATGGCATGGCTGGTTCAGTCGACAGAAATATGGGACACACAGGCCTATGATAACTGCTTAAATGTTTGCGGGGTAAATCTGAGGTCAGTCTGAGCTCTCATGGTACTCATGGTAACAGTGCCGTACAACTGCAGGCGCCACTGACTCGGACGGTTGTCGTGGTAATAAACACCGTAAACAGCAACTGTTCGCGTGTCAGCGCTTAATGTGCATATCCTATATGAAAAGCATTTTAGGGGGCCCTTGGCTTTTGGGGGCCCAAGGCAGTCGCCTACCTTTGCCTAATGGGTAAGTCTGCCCCTGCCCCAGTGAAGCATTTCTATTAATATAACTGATTAAGTAGTCAAACTCATTCCATATCAGCAGTTTAGTGTGGTACAGAAAGTCTATCCCTCCGGACGATCCTTCGCCGAATCTGGCGATTTTGTTTGGCCTTCCAAAAATGGACACAACTAGAAATCAGTGGTTAAGTTGTATTTGCAACACTGTTCCAGAACACTTCAACCCTATGGGACTATCAAATGTGTGTAAATCAAGTCTTTGCTCATTATAGGGAGGAGGGCCAATATTATTAGTCTAAAACTGGAAAGTGGCTGAGTTTAACAGGGCAGAGGACTATGAATTTACAAGATTCTAACCGATTCCTGAACCAGTCTGGCTAAGCGAAGCTTCGGAAGTCATCAATTACGTCATTGCTCTAAAGCAGTGGTCACCAACCTTTTTAGGCCCAAGATCCCTGACCTCGGCCTTTATGAAAGACAAGATCTACCTACTGAAGAATTGATAGAAAAAGACATCCCAGATTGTACTTCAAATTTGAGGCCTTTTACTTAGTATTTTAATTAGTGATGTGCCGATCATAGCTGATTCAGAATTCAGATTTTCTTTTTTTTAACTAGCTTATTCTGATACTGATTTGTAAGCAAATTTATTTATTGGCTATTTCCTTTATAACAAGCAAACTGGCTTTAAACAAAAATATCTAGCCATTTGAAATTAGAGGCAACCACTGCATTTTAATCACGATCTGCACGGGCAGTTGTTTTTGTTTTTAATTTCAGGATTTAAAACAAAAACAGAATGGTTTGATTTTAGGTGTTATTTATTTATTTGCTACATAAAACATCTGCGCGAAACAACAGCAGGTCTGAATGAGACGCACTCTCTGAACAGGGTTGCCAGGTTTTCGATAAATAAAACAATAAAACTAGTCCAATCGTGTTTCGAGGGGGGTTCCCCTTGTAGCGTCTGCGTAGAATCATACATGATCTTTGGGTGTTTATGGCTTAAGAGACCCCTTTTAGCCTTTTGAGATTTGCATATAAATTACAGTCCCTGTAAAAATTGCATTCCGGGGGTAAAATACACGTTTTTCGGAAGGGATCTTCCAGTAAAATTCACATTCTAGGGGCTAAATATCACGTTATTGGGGTTGCTTCAACCGGCGGACATGAACAACAACCCGCGGCAGCAGTGTTAAAGTAGCCCAGTTCCGCGGAAAAACCGTGGACTTGGCAACACTGCTTATGAACCGACCGCAATATAGCATTTCCTTGTTTACCGCTGTAAACAAAGCAGAGCTGCGCTTTATACGGAGGAGAAGAAAATGCCATAGCCATTGAAACTTTTCTCAAGACAGTTCCCTTCAGTGATACATTAATAGAACCCCAGAAATGTAATGCATTTTTTTTACTTATTTTACTGTTATTTTTGGGATCTACTGGGACAGTGATAAAGATCGCGATCGACGGGTTGGCGACCACTGCTCTAAAGCAATACAGGCCTCGATACGTGCTTCACTGAAAGCTGCCGGGATTTCTCGACACACACTCCAAAGCCTCGGCACAGAACGTAACATCACTACTTCATACATCATCAGCCCGGAACTGCTTCAGTGTACAACTGTTGGCGCAAGCTACATTAAAGTGATTATTACGTTTTGAATATGGATATTTTTCTTACAAAAATGTACTGATTCGCTACAGGAGGCCTTTGTTCACCCCCCGGAGCCTTGTGAGACACTTTTTTATGGATGGGCACTTTTTATTTCACTGAAAATAAGTGTATAGCTGGAACAGTTCATTGTTGGAGCTGAGCTGAGAGAGAGAGAGAGAGAGAGATGCAGAGCGTGTGCAGAGCAGTGGGACGTGATGAACAGTATTAAGAACCACTGCTTTAGAACATTAATTTTGAAACTTGTGAATCCATTAGAATCGTTAGAAGACAGAATCGCGATTCATATATGAATAGATTTTTACGTGCACCCCTATTTTTCTCTTCCTCTTCTCTAAAGCATGGCCTCGCCCCCTTTGCTGCCTTTTCCCGAGTGCGGGGTTTATCTGGGTTTGTGATGTCACGAACCCAGGAAGTAACTCGTTGTAGTCCCTACCAGCCGTTTTTTTAAACCAACAGAATTTTAAAAGACGATATCTCCGTTTGCATTGAACTTTCAGCTTCGTAACTTTGCAGATATTGTTTATGCTCAAACAGCAACATTAGACACTAACATTAAAAAAGTGAAATCACAATCAACCACACCTTTAAGCAAAGACAAACAGATCAATATGTTTTGACACATTCAAAATGCTTTTATTTTTCATTTAAATATGTATTATTTTGCTGTGTTCAGTCATTATGAATGGAGAATCATCCTCAAACTTAATCTAGAACTTGGTAAAACATTTATCTTTATTTCAAATATGCTTCAAGATTTTTTCCCCTCTGTAAACTTTTTTTCCCTTAGCTGACTGGGATGTTTGCTGAAGTTGGTGGATGTGGCACAGCCCTATACTACTTCCCAATAGTAATACATGGAGTCCTGAAAATGAATTGAGTTACTATAATTAATAATAATCAATAAATAGTTATAATTGAAAATTATAAACATCTTAAATTACAACTCTTACATTTTTTTTAGGTTTAACAATACTTACAAGAAGTATACAGGCTCCCAGTGCAGTAGCTTTCATTTTGAGATCCATGTTGCTTGGAAACCTGATCACAAAATTTGCATTTGATTCACAGCATGAGAATGGTTTGGTGATTTTGCCAAATGACCCGTCTATCGCTGCTTCATTCAAAGACACCAGCTGTGGTCACAGTATAAGACACACATTAACACATTAAGCATTCAAGCACAGTTGGTTACTAGCTATTCCTTATCTACAATGTACTCCCCATTCATATAGTACATTTTAATAGTATTATACAGGACTACTACTTTTAGCAATCTAAGGTAAATGTTTAAAATAAATTAAGCTTTATTCTGTTACAGTTTAAATGAGCAACAAGACCATGATAGCTATGAAAAGGAAACAAAAAACAATGAAACACGTTTGTGGATCAGGTTTTTTGCCTTCATTGTGGGGATCAAGTTTTTTTTCCCCAGAAGTATAGTACAATCTGAAATCACTGTGGTCAGGCAGCGAGGTAAATGGCTTAAAGTGATAGTTCACCCAAAAATGAAAATTACCACATGATTTACTCACCCTCCAGTCATCCTAGATGTACAGGTGCATCTCAATAAATTAGAATGTCGTGGAAAAGTAGTTTATATGGGAGTCAAACAGGAAGTGAAAGCAGAGGGAGTGATGAGATTATATGTACTTCGAAGATCGAGCTTGGTGGAGATTTTATAAAACTGGATTTCAAGGCTTCATCCACATACTCTTCTCCATGGCCTGACTTTCGTTTCTGGAAAGTGGATATACTTTACTCTTGGGGGGTTGTGTGTTAGGCAGGAGATCGATGGTACAGTCCCCAGGTCTATGTGGAGGAAGTTGTGTGGCTTTTACCTGGCTGAATACATCAGAGAGATCTCGATAACAATGGGGAATATTAACTTTCTTGTGTGTCTCAGGGCTTTCCACACTGGTTGCGAGACATGATTGGGGTGTTGCAGTGATACAGTGACTCATACAGAAAGATGACCAGCATGTCAATTCACCTTGATGCCATGAGAGTTCGGGGTCGTGAGTAGAGAGCCATGGATATCCTAAAACAAGTTTGTGTTTGGGAGAGTCGATGATGTAAAAGGCGATGGATTCCTTATTAAGGGTTCCAACTTGGAGGGTGAGTGTTTTGGTCTGGTGAGGGATGCCTCTTCCAATCAATTCACCATCGATAGCCTTGACTTGGATAGGTGGGGTGCACATTTGTGTAGGGATTTGATATTTGGTTACGATGTCCTGGTGGATGAAATTCAGGGCGTCTCAATCGTCGCTGTGAGGTCGAGAGAGAGAGTATCAGTTCTTAAGACAACAGGGAGTGTGAATGACTTGTTGCTTAAAAGGGCAAAATGTTCAATATTTACCCGGGGATTCTTTTGAAGCTTGTGGGGGCATCCTAAACTGCGGTGGCCTGATTCACCACAGTAAAAACAGTCGTTGATGTCTCCTCCGTTCTCTTTCACTCTCAGATAGTCGGGAGTATTGCTCAGCGGTACCGTCAAATTTGTCAGGAAGAGCGAGACTTACGGTCTTAGGAGTGGGTGGAGGGAGAGATCGAATGTAGTGTGTCAGGTGTTCGTTGACGGTCTGCAGCTTGGTGAGTTGTTCTTGATATTTCTGGAGCATTTCAGCTTGGTATGAGAATGCTGCTTGCAGATTCTACACTTCCGCTGGATTCATAGGAGGCGAAGTATTCTGTAACAGAGACGCTGGAGTTTGGTTAGAATCCATGAGCGGAAGTTTATTAAAGGTCAAGGCTTTAAACCGATGTCGATAATCAGGCAGAGGGTCAAAGTCAGAGAAGCAAGCAGATCATTCGTCGTACACAAGGGCAGAAGCAGAGACAATAGTGGAGAGGCAGGCAATGAGTCCAAACACAAACATCAGTCCTATCAGGCGTCAGAACAAAAGGGGCAGGGGAGATTACGGTGTATATATAGTTTTAAGTATGGATATTTTTCTTACACAAATGCATTGTTTCACTTCAGAAGGCATATATTAACCCTCCCCCCTTTTTATCATGCACTTTTTTGGGCTTCAAAATCATGGGGTAATTTTCATTTCAGGGTGAATTATCCCTTTAATAAGCACACTAAATAGTGTTAGAATTAAAATCTAACAATGTTAAAAGCAGTGCTCGAAGTGGGCCGGTATGCAGTATCACAGTATACGCAGTAGTAACTATATTTTAATATTTATTTTTTTTCTTGCATACCAGCACTTCTCACATGTTGCCTGTACTTTAGCAGAGTCAAAGTGTCAGCATCACTGTCCGGTTGCACCAAAAGCTAACCAATAGTACCAACAAGCAATCTGAACAAATCTTAAAGGTTTTTTTATTATTATTATTGTAGAAAATTCAAATGTGACAATGACAGACATCCTACCTCTCCAGATTCTTCCACATATTGTTAGTGGCTCCCTGATCCCCTAATGCATGCAAATTATATCCCAGAAATTGTGAGTTTTTTGGTGATTCAATCGCATGCTGTCAACTGAGATGTGTTTATTGTTTCTGACTGGTAAACGTGTTTTGAATGCGTCTACACTCTGACCACTTGTGTTCAGATTTCGCCACACTCTATATCAGTTTCATGGGAGCACGAATGGTATTGAATGAACCAACCAAAGTAACACAGCTTACGAGTGAGCAGCTTAAGATGAGAAGACAGCTGTAATTGTTGGTGTCATTTAAATGTAAATAAGCTGACTAATCTGTTATGGAGCTACTCTTTTTATGTACTACAATGTGATTATTTTATACAGTATGTCATATCATGTTGTATTATGTTAACCCTACTTCAAGCACTGACTAAAATGTTTATGTGAAGGATATGTTTAAGGTTACAAGATAGAAAATATCTTGGTTTAATTTTAAAACAATGAAAGTCAATGGGAAATTGAAACTTGTGTATGTGCTTCACCTCGAAGTTCTCATCTGTGCAGCAGGTACAACCTGGTCCCACAATCTTAATTGCTGGTTCACCCCGTTCATTCTCAAGAGTGAATTTAGGTAGGCAAACATGCCAGTTTTGTCGAACATATCCAATGGTAGTGCCCGGTGGAGACTGAACCTCTAGCTAAAATATAAATACAACACATAGGCTAATATACAGTATATAAACATAATGAAGTTCTAAACAAGACAAGGATAACATTCATACCTCATGGCTGCTGCAGGAGGTACAAACAGACGGGTGCACCATTCTGATGACCTCTTGATTTGAGTGGTCAGTAACATTCATTGTGAAATTACGTGCAACACCATAGCATTGCCTGTCACAAGATTCGCTGTCCTCAAGAATACTGAAAACCTTGTTCTCCATGCCATCCTTCACAAAATATCTGTTGACAGGCTTTATTCCAAAGCAAACTTTAAGAAAATAAAAGGTTGGAGATAAGAGTGTTGCTCATTTGATTTTGCTGTATTTCATTCATGAAATGCTAATAAACAAACCTTCTGCAAGCCTGTCTTCAGTAGTTCGTTCTTTGTAGACAAACAATTGATCCATCTAAAATAAACATGAAAATTACGGGCTCTTTGCATTTGTCTATGTTAGAGTAATATACATGCATAATGATAAACATTCTTATTATTTTTGAGAAGCATCTCCAGTCCTATCTGACCCCAGTCAAGGTCTCCAGATGAGAAGGACAGTGGTACGGGTCTGGGGAAGGAATCATTGCGGTGTCCTCTAGTGAAGCATAAACAGACATACCATGAGTGTGTGTGCACTTTGGATGGGATAAATGCAGAGCACTAATTCCGAGTACTTGGCCACATGTCACTTCACTTCACTTCACTTTTGGCACTCTAGCTCTTAATAAACAGAACTGCACACATCCCGCGGAAGAACATTCCAACCGGAGCTACTTCTCTAAGTTTATGTCGATGGCGATTCATGCAGGTATGTGTTACTCCGCAGCGGTGACGACCCGACCAGGCTACAATAGTCCAAATATAAGTAGGCTACTTATTATAAGTGTACCGTAGTGATTCGGAATAAGACAAAAATGCGGTTGGGAAGATGAATTCATGATGTACTCGCTCATTATATACATTTAGCAAATTTTGAACACAGAAAAAGTTACATAGTGCTGCTTTAACTATAGTGTGTTATTTGATATTACATTTAAAGTTATTTTAAATTGCAAGATTTCAAATGTAATTACAAATATACTGTATTTATTAAATACATCACATACAAGTTTCAATAAAATGACATTAAAGTATTTTTAGTAATCCTGCTTCAGTGGGTCAAAAAACGCTCTTTAGTTTAACTAACTGCATTTCTTATACATTTCAACTATAATACATTTTAATTGAATTGTAAATAATATGCAATTAAGTGTCTGAAGTTCACTTCATTAAGTTCACACTTAAGTATATTCTTTTTTTTCTGTATTAAGAATAATCTTTTTAAAAGTCTGCTAAAGTGTACTTATTTTTCACAAGGGGTCATATCTTGACTAGACTGTTGTAGTCAACGAAACAAAACGGGGATAGATAGACAACCCCACCCTTAACGAACTCACCTGACAATTCCATATTGGATTTAATCTGGAAACAGAATAAGAAAAGAAAAGAAACAGTTTTAGTATAGTGTTAAATTCTCTTTCATTTTTTATTAATATATCATTTTAAATTTTATGGTAAAAATTCCTCTTAAATTCCTCTAAATCTTATGGTAAAAAATAACTCTTTATAGAACTGCATATTCATATACACAATACACAATTTAACATGATTTAAATTAAACAATTTTAAATAAGAGATATGCCATACCGGTGAAATACAATTTGTCTGTTGGGCAGTGGTGCTGATAAATACAGTAAATGCTTTTCTCATGACACACGATTAGTTTTTGTTGTTGGGTGTTTTTAAAGAGGTTTGTGGTTGACCCACTTTCATGTTCCAAGTAGTTACTTCTGGTTTTAACAGCATGAAAATGCATGAGCTCTATCGCCACAATCACGCCAGGCTGTCCCTCCCTCACTCGGCCCTCACAGTTTCTGGTGTATTAATCACACTAACCTGTGAGCACTATAAAGCACACACACATTCCGTCAGTAGTTGTCTGACTTCATCAAGAGATCACATACTCACCTACACTGTTAGACATTTCTGTATTTTCTACAGTTATTTACTGTATATCACCCAGTATAATACTGCAAATTCACTTTACAGTAAATAACTGTAATACCCTTTGCATCATGGGAATTTTCTGTGACATCAAACCCCACATACAGTGACTTACTGTATTTTTTTTAAATGCTGTATACTACTGTAATTGCCATTCTATTGAGGTTGCTTTATTTTCCTCATTTCTCACATCGGGATTGACAAGATTTGACTTACACCATGTCTACAGTGCCACAACAGCTTGGGACTGACTACACTGGATGTTACATCGCTTGTAATGATTGGAAAATCCGTTTGTCCTTCGTGTCAGAAACAGCGCGAGTGCTTGGAGTACATCTGTACGTCAGAAATATACCGGGACATTACTTGACTGTCTGCATCCACTGTAGATAGTATAATGGGTTCTATGGGTCTTGGGTCTTGTGTAATGGTTCTTTTGTCGAGTCGAGTCGTGCCGCGCCACTCGTGTCCGAGGAAGACACGGAACCAGCACGGCAGTTTTGCCCAGGAATGAACCCGCGAGAGTGGAAGAGTTCCGGAGAACATCTGCGCTTTGTGTTGATGCACCTTATGAGAGAATAAGACCAGCAATCAAGGTAAAAAAATATATGTACGTTTGTCTGTCTGTTTGTATCAACATTTTTGCACACCAGTTTAACCTAGTAACATTTACCCGTCAACATAGCGATAACAAACTTTACTATGGTAAACTGCGCTGTCGTTTCAAACGACTTTTGTCAGCTTATTGAATTACTGTGTTAAAATTACTTTTAACGAGCAACACTTATCTTGTATTAACATTAAGTTAACTAATGTGAAATTTTGTTCAGGTATTAGTAGTTAATGTTGGCCAGTAGCCTAGTGAGAAAATAAAATCGTATGTTAGCTAGGTTGAACAAGTTTTTGGGCTAGCTGCCTTTCTAGTTTTAGAATTTGTTTGTTATAGTTTTTAATGGAATTTAAGATTTACTGCACTTTTTGTATTTGTGTTTTAAAGGCAGCTACAATGAAGCATCAAGAAAGACATGAGCAGGCCAGCCACCCTGAGACTGATAATTCATGTTAAGAGAACAACTATGGTTTTGAGAGATTTGTGTTTCCTTTTAAATGGGTCATATGATGCGATTACAATTTTTCCCTTCTCTTTGGAGTGTTACAAGCTCTTGGTGCATAAAGAAGATCTGTAAAGTTGCAAAGACTAAAGTCTCAAATCCAAAGAGATATTCTTTATAAAAGTTAAGAGTCAGCCATGCCTACCTAAAACGGCTCGTTCTAACACACCCCCACATATCTACATCACTATGTGGGAAGATTTGCATAACGCCGCCCAAATGTTCATGCAAAGAAAGAAGGCGTAACCTTTATTCTCGGTGTAGTATTGTTGTTGCCGCTGCCACCATGTTGTGAATGTGCTGTGTGATTCATTGTGAAAGCGAAACTACTTTGTTTGGCCTTCCAAAAGAGAGAAACAATAATGTACAGTATGTGGAAAATAATGTGTTTTTTGAACTTTAAACCGCATAAACACATTTTATTACACCAAATACACAAAATGATGTTCTTTTTATCAGCATCATATGACCCCTTTAAAAGTATGCCATTTCTACTTGTTTTTCAGAGAAGACATTTCTGTCACTAACAAAGTGGATGGTGAGCAAAAGTGGTGGCCACGTTTTGGAGCAGCACCTGGGTTTTGCAGATGGCTATGTATTCTTTGGCTGCTTATCTTTTTTCCCCATTATGTTTCTGTTGCCTAAAGATTCTTCGTTAGTGTAACCCCTCTCTCCCGTGTCCTCACCGCCACACCTCATTCTTGTTCCGAGTGGGTCTCCAGCATGGGAGGCGGATGCACTAACAAGGAGGCTAAATGACTGCAGCCACTAGCACGCCTCTTGAGATCAGGGGAGTACTCACTGGCCTCTGTTACACTCACCCCCATCCGGGTCACGGCACCAATGTAACCCCTCTCTCCCGGGTCCTCACCGCCACACCTCGTTCTTGTTCCAAGTGGGAATGTGCGTTCTTGTTTTTTTACAGTAATTTACTATAAACCAGTACAGTTTGCAACTGTAAACCGAATACAGGTTGTTACTGTAAATCTCAATTACAGTAACTTACTGGCAACAGTGTTGCCAGTAATTTACTGTAAAAACCCTTTGAAATGTCTTACAGTGTATGTGGAAATTTACCTGGGAGTTACCTATAATATCGTCAAAATCATCTCCTTATAATCCAAGGCGTCTTTTCCTCTCATCTGCCTCCTTGTCTGTGTGTCTCATAATCCTGTAAGAAACATCCAGTTGCAACCTTCAACGTTATCTGCACAGTAATTTCTCCAGCTCATCAGCCTGCTTTTGAATTGTGTTCCCACTGTGTTTAATAAACGTATACCTGTCATTGTGTCTAAGCCTTAACATGACACTAATTGTCATTCTAATCATTTTATGTAAGTAAATATGCCATATATAATTGCAGGCATTTTTTCCCTCAATTTCCTTGTTTGCAACCTCTGGATATCTGCTTTATCTTTTTTCTCTCTCTCCAAATTATAGGACAGTTGTAGAGGTTTTGACTGTCAAGTACACACTATCCAGACAAGTTTATAATTGATCTGTGGCACAGAACCTGTGGGTCATCATGGTTTGTTTATTTGTCATTCCAGTTTTAAGACGTCATGTATCCATAAGTACATTGGTGCCTCAAACCACATTCACCTGCACATTCAGTCACATATTGTGTATCAAGGCACCAGGGGCCTCATGTATAAAACTTTACGTAGATTTCATCCTAAATGTGTACTTAACTCCTAAAAAGCTAGATTTTGCATACGTACAAAAGTTTTCAGATTTATAAAGTCATGCATACGCCAGAACCTGCGAAAAATTCTCTTTGTAATATCCAGTCAGCGGAACATAGTGCGTACATGCATCTCCACCCCGTCTCCTCCCCAAAATAGCATATATGGAGCTTACAACGCCTAGTTTTAATATGCATAATGTAATCTGCATATCATTTCCATGCATATTCCATCCACGTGACACCGTGTTTGACGCAGTTGAGGGTACAATACGCTAGGAAAATATGAGATACGTACTATAAATGCTTTTAGAGACATCCCATTGCTATTCAAATTTATGCAATTTTGCCTAAAAAGTAAACATATATTTTAGAATGTTATCCTAACCCTTGGTATTTCTAACCGTCTTGATCCTAATGATCTGAGGGGTCTGTTAGGTTTATATTCAGTGAGCATATCTGCAATGTATTTAGGTCCTAGGCCATTGAGTGATTTATAAACAAGTAAAAGTACTTTAAAATCAATCCTAAATATAACTGGAAGCCAGTTTAAGGACCGGAGGACTGGTGTGATATGCTCAGATTTTCTGGTTCTTGTCAGAATCCTGGCAGCAGCGTTCTATATGAGCTTCAGCTGTCTAATGGTCTGCTTGGGAAGGCAGATGAGGAGACCATTATAATAGTCCACCCTGCTGGTGATAAAGGCATGAACAAGTTTCTCCAAGTCTTGATTGGAAACAAAACTTCTAATTCTTGCAATGTTTTGGGGATGATAGTA